ATGGTCCACACTGACCCATGGAGAAATCACTCATGCGTGGTTAGACAATCCAGGTATAGTCAGGGCCTAAAAATTAGACGAACCGGGTTGTAATCGCTCATACCGTTAACAGTCAAAGCACAGCACATTATTACCCTGGATAACCCAAGCTGCCTGTTAGGCGCTAGAAGGTTATAGTCGCATGACTTATCCCACCGGGTACCCATTTTCTGCTGGGTGAACAGAGGCAGTTTTGAATAAACTCACTTGCCTAAGGCGTGACCACATATATCCCATGTGCTTCGTTGAGGGGCAGGACTGAAGTCCTAGAAACTCTCAGGAGTCAAGCTGCCAAACACGGTCACCCATCCAAGAACTCTCCGCGCCCAACATGAGCTATATGCACAGGCTCACACACCACCTAGACTAACAACTAGTCTCTGAAATGAACATATTTTACTGAAAAAAATTCATAGTGAAAAAATATATAATATAATGAAAAGGAGCCCTGAGACTTTCTTCAGCTGAGGAAATCTAGACTTGCCACATTTTCTAGACTTGCGTGGGCTTTCTTGGATATATTTGCTTCAGGGTCTGTACGACAGGCTCACACACCACTATGTTACTGACATTTCTGAACACTTTTAGTCACATCGGCAGTGTTTCTGCCATATCGTGACTAAAATAAGATATACATTCGGTAAAATAAATCTGTACAAAGTGAACACAAAAACAGCTGATCGACCGGTTTTCGAACTCCAGGCACGGCATACGTCACATTATGACGTCATATGATTGTCAGCGCTTCAGCTTCTCGGCGGGGAGCTTGGCGGTTACCGTGGCAGCGGGTCATATTTTTTCCAGTTGTCACACGAGGGTGACACGGAAACTTGTTAAACCGTCATTGACCAATGAAATTAAAGTATTTTACATGAAGGTAAGATAAAAAAAACAACTGTCGACGAAGAGCAGCAAAATCAACTAGAATATCACAGATACAGCTGCAAAACTAGCATGTAAATCTAACTACTGAGTCAAAAAAGAAACTTCACATTCTTTCTTCAGGGCACTATAAAAGAACAAGAGATGGTAAGATGGTTAAATTGTTATTATTTCATTGCTGAGATCTGTGTGATGTACTCGATACACTGACAGTGCCATAATCAGTTCCATTAGGCTACACCGCCGTTCCAAAACATGGGTATACAGAATGTCAAGTCACAAAATGGACGTCGAGAATGGAGATTGGCAGCCCGCAACCGATTTCGAATGGTCTGTGAGGACAGTCGACCTCTAAACATCTCAGCCCTGGTTCGTGTAGCCGGCAGAAATCTGTCACGTAGGTGACGTAGGACGATTTGACGGTCTTCTGCTCGTGACGTCACACGTGGACGACCCGACCTTGGGCGATCAGAAGTGGTGCCAGTTTGTTGTAGACGACCTCGCAAGTCATACACAGTACGACGCCTGCATCCCATTGCACTTGCGACGTGAATAACTGATCTTCCCGCTTGCAACATGCCAACGGCACGTTCACGTTGCACATTTGACAATCGTGGCATTTCAAGTACCGTTAGAACTGTGGTTTAAAAGTGTTTTTTCAATTCTTGAGGCCAATGCAAACACGTGCATTTGAAGAAAACTTCGATGCGAAGATCACGTGATCGACTGCACGTGCAAAACCTGATTTGGCACTAACGTCATTTGCACGACGAATGGATGTGTTTGAGTGGGTTTTGCTAACGTTTTCCTAGAGTCGAAAGATAGGGGATCCCATTTCGGATACATAGATGTATCATCAGAGAAAAATTATTCATTATTTTTCAAATTACATTTTGTGAAGTTTCTTTTTTGACTCAGTATATAAACACTACAGGTTACAGATCGCCGACAACTGAAGGTGATCACCATACCAGGAACCACGGGGACTTATGGTACCTTTGCTTCCTGCATGGACCCTAGCTGGATTTACACTATCACTTCAACCGTTGGCCATTGAGACTGAACTGAAATGGACTCAGACCTTGAGTTATGTTAGGGATTAGGTCTCGCGGTTTTTTCATGTCATTTTATTAATTTACCTTTATATACTTAATCATTTATGAATATACTTATCGATAGTTTTTACATTTATTCATGAATTTATTTAACTGTAAATTAAATTTAATTTCATCATATTATTTATTTTATTTTCTCTGAATCTATCTATCGGTATATATTTTGTTTTCATTACATTACAATGAGAGAATCCAGTGTTTACTTTGATTCTTTTAATCTCTAATCATGTAGTCGGTCATTGCAAAAATATTATGATTATAATCCATGAAACATAGATATTGTTGATGTATTTCTTCTAAAAAAGTAGAATAAAGGACTCAAAATTATAATCTTTCCGTTTTTCTGCTTACTGTTGAAGCAAACCAATTTAATGTTGGTAAAAGTGAAGGATTATCTGTGTAGTCAGCATTACAGGATGTCAATCACTATAAGGAGACTCGGCGCATATCTTCGTATCCCAGCTGTGTAGATCGATGCTCATGATATCAATCACAAGATTCGAATATTTCACAAACTGCCGACGCCGCTGAAATATTGTTAAGTGCAGCGATAAACAAGAAAGCATATCTTGAACGCAGGCGGCTGATTATGAATGATGAACATCGAACTGATTCCCTCTTCAGTTAGGCGCTGATTGGCTGGTTTGAGACTTCCTCTATGGTGGGATATGGCAAATACTCATCAGACGTTATCGTTTATTTCAGGACCGGACTCCACCCATTATTTGGGCGGTTGGGTAGCTTAATGGTTAAAGCTTCCACTCGTCCGGTTTCGATTCCGAATGTGAGTAAATTGTGTGAAGCCAATTTCTGGTGACAAGCGAACATCAGGCTCCACCCTACCCCAAACCCTAACCTCAACCAGCCTACTTCGCTTCTCTCCACCCTCTCACACGCTGTCCTAGAGTCAATGGTTTGTCTAACGCCAAACTCGACAGCGGTCCGAGGCCTACCGTGACTGACATTTATCCTAATTGCTTAGATCGAGCTAAGCAATCGGGATAGTTGTTGAATCGCATCCACCAACCCCGTGAAGATCCGGGTTAGAACTGATCTTCAGCAACCCATGCTTGTCGTAAGAGGCGACCAACGGGATCGGGTGATCAGACTCGCTGACTTGGTTGACACATGTCATCCCAATTGTGTTGATTGATGCTCATGCTGTTGATCACTGGACTGTCTGGTCCTGACTTGATTATTTACAGACCGCCGCCATACAGCTGGAATGTTGCTGACAACAAACAAGCAGATAGTTTTCCAATAGTCAATGAAGCGGAAGTAAAATAATGTGAAGGTATAATTTTATGAGATCAACTGAACGGCTTGGCACTGCACCCACACTTACAGAATTTCGTTATTTGGAAATATTCCAAAGAAAGCAAACAATTTGTCATTTTGTATATATTGTTCTGATTATCAGTAAGATAATTAAATGATGAGACAATGTCTTTCAGAAAATGGCCAGATATAAAAATACTTGAGATTACTCTCTTTTAATAAAGACTAAATTCTAGTAATTCTTCCCATTCGGGACCCGAAAAAACAGTCACTGAGTGAGTTTAGTTTTAAGTCGCTTTTAGCAATATTCCAGCAAATATTATGGCGGGGGACACCAGAAATGGGCTTCACACATTGAACCCGTGTGGTAAATCGAACCCGGGTCTTCGACTTGACGGTGGGGTAGCCTAGTGGTTAAGGCGTTCGCTCGTCACGCCGAGGACCCGGGTTCGATTACAAACTCTTATATAACTCTTGAAAACTTTGAAATGTTTCAAAATTGGTCATGAAAACTATGGGGTTCACACGAGTCAATTCATCGTACAAAGGATCGTCGACACGGCTTGCGCCATCATCCATGTCAATCAAACAGCTCAATTTCACCAAAAGGATCTTCGTCATCAACTTCGCTTGCGTCATCGTCGTTTACATCCATGTCAGCCTCCTTTAGGTACATGTCCAACTATGAGATGACCACGTTTTACGACTACAGCAATTTACGATCTGCATAATTTAGATCATCACGTTCAGTATTGAAAGTTTCATCCTCTTCAGGTGCATGTCCAAAATGTTCGTGAAAACCACGAATAACACATTCAACAGAGTAAATGGATATGTTCGTCATGTCAAATATAGGAAGAAATAACATGAACTATTAATTTTGTATTGTAGAAAGGGGAGGCTACTCTCATTTGACACATTTTGGAATTTAATAGACGCCCATGGGCTTCTAAACAAGAGGGCTTGCTTTCGGATAACCCCGGTAGTGTCAGAATCATATCTTTACTAGTTCAGGTAATATCTGAGTACAAAGTATAATGGTTTTGCCTGGACAGAGATTGTTAGGATTTGGTTAATGACTACTGGTTTTAGACGATGATGGTGTTCATGAATGTCACATGAAAAATATGTTGCTTTTTTCTAATTCATAGTTTGTAGTTTTTCGAAGCCGCAAACATTATCCTAATTTCCCACTTTTTCCATGAGGGTCCTTATTTTTCCCACGCTCTCTAAAATCTTGTGATGTCGTAATGTGTCGCAAACAAAAAAAAGGAAAGAAATAGGTGTTGGGTCCTAATGTTCATCAAAGCTGAAACGATGAATCTTTAAGCCATGTTTAATTACTCAATATATTGCAAGAAGAAATGAAACAAGATCACACTAATTTCCGTCTCTTAATTTTTAACTTTATAGGAATGGTTAATTATTATTTAACCAAGAATGTTTATTCAGTGGCATTCATGGAACATGCCTTTGTAAAATCTTAATTGTTCATGAGCAAATTTCAGCAATGTTTGACCACGTCACATGAAATGTGTCACGTGAGTATGACGCGGGAAATTGGTTACCGGAAGTGCCAATGTCGTCTGCTGCTCTGTACTGGCATTTGCTTTCTGTTGCGCAACCAATTCTTGAACGTACATTTGAGAGAGGCTGCGACTTAGCACCCAGTTATATGTTTCGAATGAGACATAACTGCAGAAAGCACGCTGAAAATTCTTAGTCGTAGTATTGATCTGGATTTGATCCGTTGCTGTCGGTAAGTTCTAGATAAAGTTATGTAATATATTCTAACATTGGGCATTTTGATCCATGACAGATTTCAGAACAATAATGTCTGTATAAGTGTTTTTGTGATAGTCGCTTAAGTTATTATAGTGATACTGCCGACTCCATGTTGCCTGCGAGTACTCGGTGCTAACTCCGTATTGTGTAATAAATAAATGTAATTATTATGTATGCTATGTATGATCTAAGTTGAACAAGCTTCATGTTCACGTTTCAGATTTACACTTTTGACTTTGATTCTCTTGAGCATCGAAGTGAGCTTTCATCATGGACATACCAGTAAGTAGCTTACGTCTTCCAAAGTCTTTTTATATTTTTTTAATGTTGCTATGTTACTTGTTTGTCTTTAACCGATCTCTAGTCGTGTTCTTTTGTTATGGGCTATAGGCTTAATATTGAACTGCTTAGTCTATTTGCCAGAAATTGCGTGTTCAAGAAATTTACAGCCTTCATTAGAAAGCCACTCCGTTGACCAAAGCCGAGATCTGTCGGAAATGAGGAAATTATCGTAATTCGTAAGAAATTATCGTTTTTCTATTACAAACGTTAATGTATGATGTTATCAATAATCAAACAATTTTTCCTATTAACGATATCTCCGATCATCGATCATTTTAGTCAGCCCTAATGGGAAATGCTTCAATCTATATTGTTAAAACTTGCAGTTGTCTAACCTCCCAAGATCAGCAGCAGACAACGTGTACACCATGGTCAGGACTACCCTGGGTTTTTTTTAAATTTTGTACAAACAATGTTTAAAAGACTTTGAAAGCTTGTCTTTAATCTGTCTTTTTGTTCAATATCAATTTCTGTATGACCCCAAAGTTCACTAAGATGCACTTTGGTCTGTAGTTGAGTTGAAAATGAAATAAATCTGCTGGAAGTAATCATTGGTCCTATCACAAGTACAAGTACACAGTAACACTGCTCATTTCAAACTGGTGAGGGGCAGTGGGGTAGCCTTGTGGTTAAAGGATTTTAAAAGGTCCTTCACATTGTTTATTTTCGCTCTTAATGAACCCCTGGGTATATATAATATTCACAAAATACAGTTAAAAACAGTAATATTTCATTATGCAGCTTGTATAAGGAATCTAAAACGCACCTTCCTCGAAAACGTCACGTGGTCGCGTGACGTCATACCCGAGAGTCGCTACATTAACAAAGAAAATACAGTAGTACCGAGCATGTTTGCTTACTGAGGTCAGCTTCTAGTTTAGCAAATAAGTCAAACCTGGATTTGGATGGCATACTAGATACAGATAATATCACATACATACAACCTTTACAATTTGAAATTATTTCTAGCGGCAAGACCGATTCTACCAGTTGACAACATGTAGCTGTGGGACGATCCCGATCCCGACTATGTTTTGAATAGACCTGCTGCAGACTGATATGCAAGTCACTTGCCTATCACATGTTCATGGAAAACTGATTAGATACTAAATTAATTTTTCAGCGGTCATGGTAAAATTTGCAGTCATGATAACGGCAATGTTTGATCAATGTGTTGAGCCTGTCTTCCGGTTTACATCGGTATGGGAAGGTAAACACTGAAATAGTTACGTTCGAGGTTCATGATTTTATGAAGGTTATTAAAAGGCCACTGATCCAGAGCGATTAATGTTTCTCGCCAACAGTCTAATTACGAAACCAAGCTGCAGGCTGGTCAGTACCTGCTCTCTCAACCGTGATAGGGACTATGCTACTATCCACCTTGGCAGAATTTCTTCAACCTAAACATTAGGAAGGGTGGATGCCCGTTATTTGAAAATATCCCAGGTAGTTCTTGTCTGACTGTAATAAAGAATCCCAGCAGTGTAAACATTTCTAGATTTTCTAATGCCTGGATGGTATAATGACTGATCCAATTTGATTCTAATTCTGTGTTTTGTACCTTGATAATCAATCATGTCATGTAACAATATGATGCTTATTACCTATGCAATGATATTAAATACACACATTTGATGTATTTGAATCTGTAAACTAAACAACCCCCACCTTGCCATTGCTAGAAAATTTACTTAGGTAAATAGGTATGTAATGTACAGGGTAATCGATAATAATTACCCTATATAAATATCTTTACTATTTATTATTTTGGGTATACTAATTCCTGATCAGTATACACTGCATGTAGTGTTGTTCGCGCGCAGTGCACTGCAACATATAGTTTACCGTGATCTTAAGATTACGAGAGCTCATACCGTTGGAATTAGTATGTAAAACAGATCCAAGCCTTTTCTTCACCTCGTTCCATCAGTCTACCTGATGTGGCGTAATTTATGTCGCGACTTTGGTGTTGACTTGTGCTGCCTCAGGTAAGCTACGTCTCGACATGGGCGCCGCCATGTTGTGATGTCATAGCGAGGTGTTTTAGAAGGTTTCGTATCTAGGATTTTATGTCACAATAGAAATAATGGAGACGAGGAATTCTTTGATTAACATTTGAAACAACAGCAGAAAAAGACAGAATCATATCTTCATTAATGAATAACCTATTTATACCAAATCATGGAAACTGTGATTTATTTATGGATATGCATATTTTATGAAATAGAGAAATTCAGTCTTATGTTGATCGTGATTTTATTTTACCTACCGTGATGTTCACATAGATTTGATCCAACTCAAGAGAATTTCTTATACCGCAGATCCTACCAGCTTTGAACAGAGATGGTGAGCGTCCCATTGACTACAAGGCTATAATGAAGAAGAAAGTTTGTGATGATATCGATCAGTTCTTCACCAAGGCTGAACTGAGCAGCTTGTCAGATTATGAAAAGTTGCGATTACGAAACATGAGGAAAAACTATGAGATGATGGCTGAATTAGGTATGATACCTTATTTGTTGTTGTTTTATTAGATTCCATATTTAAGATGAAGGATTAGAATGTATTCAACATACAGCAACCTTGCTTTGTCAGCATCAAAATGAAGTGTTTGACATTGTAGGAGGTCCTGGGGTCCAATTGGGTGTGATTTTGATGAACAATCTGAAACCGATCTGTGAAAACAGAAGGTCATAATTTTCAAATTGATTTTGTGCATATCAAAACGTATATCATGAGAGGATAGAGCGATTTCTTGAAATGTTTTGACCTTCTTGACAGTGTTAAATGACTTATCAGTGACAACATTACTGTCAAATTAAACGTACAAGAACCTGTGAAGATCCTGGTTAGATTTCAACTTCAGTAATCCATTCTTGTCATAAGAAGAACTAACAGGATCAGGTGGTCAGACTTGGTTGACATGTCATCATATCACAATTGCATGGATAGATGCTTATGTTGTTGATCACTGGATTGTCTGATCCAAAATTCTGTCTTTGAGTACAGCATCGCTCTGTCTCAAAATTAATTGTATTATCAGCACAAAATTATTTTTGTTTTATCAAAGTTCCATTACTGTAAGATTTGTGTTTATGTGACAATGAGTTACTGATAACTGAATCTACTCTTTACTGCTAAACAAAGACACATTATAAATTCAAAAGGTCTGACACCTGTTCATTAACTACAGTTTGTAATAAATGAACTGCCACTTCTCCAGATTTTAATTGAAAAGTCAACTTCATATCGTATTTGTTATTGTTATTCTTAAAGAGGCTGGGTTACCAGCATTTCAGAATATCAGCAAACACATATCACCTCTTCATTTTAACTATTATCTGCACAGTATTAGTGACTCATTGAATAGTAAATAGTATCTGATGAACTGTAACACCATCTTTTTAATGGTACAGTATCTGTTTTTAATTTATACCATGTTTATTCAGTTTAGATCATGACTAAGAACCAGAAATTAAACTCTTGTGACATTTGCTGGTCATTATTAAAGCAAACACCACATAATTGTAACTCCAGTTCCTCTTTGCTCTAGCCTAGCCTTGTAAGGAAAAAATAGTCTCCTTTGCCTTGCACTATTGCACAAAAGTTCTTAATGTCCTGACACTACTTTTGTCATATTTTCAAAGCCACATTAATGACTTTCACCACAATATTTCAGTACTGCCTTATACTCTGTTACTCTCCTTCCCCACCTGCCTACTACTGGCTACCGATATGACAGTCTATAAGTCAATTTTGAGGACCAAAAAAGCAGTCTGTAGAAGGGGGTCGTCTTATCCATGAGTTACACTTTCGTCAAACTTTTTCCAGGGGTAAGAAAACAACATCGTGATTACCACTTCGTGTGAACAAACAACAGAAGACGACTTTTGTCAGTAGAGACGCCAAATTTGCAATTAAACATCACTAGACAAGATTAATTACCATTTAAGGTATAAGTTGTTTTTGCTGGGCATTGTATTATTTGCAGGATTAAGATTACCGTGTGTATTTGTCTCGCATTACACAAACCCGGAAATAGTAATCAGCTGTGCACATCGCTTCCCGCTAACAAGTTCAAACATGCACAATAATATAACGGGATCTAATTCTGACGCAGTAAATCAGTAAAATATAATACAGAATACCATTATTTAACCCAAAGAAATATATCCTAGCATTGTGTAATTTTAGTTACAGTTTTTGCTCTATAAATTAATTAAGATTACCGCGATTTGTCTCTGCATTAACAAAGCCGAAATAGCAATCAGCTGTGAACACGCTTCCCTCTTAACAAGTTCAAACATGCACAATAATATAACAGGATGAATTCTATTGATTGAATACTATTATTTAACTAAAAGAAATATATCCTAGCATTGTGTAATAGTTTTATGTAAAAAATATATTATCAACACTAAGGCTATAATGGACCATCATGAACGTGGTAAGCACGCGACATGGAACGAGGCGGTAATCAGTTTGTGATTGTTGAATGGGGTAAAATAAGCAAGCCAGTTTGTTGCTACAATAAATATGATATTTAGAGAAGCAAAATATATTATGCATTTTTCTGTCAACTACACTTTGTTTTCGATCCGTGAGTAGACACAATATATATGACAGTGAATTCTTTGAATAATGTGGACCAAAGTTATAATTATTGGTAACTGCCAGTTGTCTGTGGATGAGTTTGTCGCTATGGTTTATTGTTAGTGGACTATTTTTCTTATTGTCATATATATATAGATGAAATATGGACACTTAAATAAGATATTTTGAAACAAAAGTTGACTTCAGTTTTTATTTACCGATGGTACTTTTTCTCTTGGGTTCACATTTCCATACTCACCGATTTCACAAAATGCATTCGCTGTTGATGCAAGCAGTGATCGCCGGGATATAAAAAGGAACACAAACACATGTTGCCACAATACACCGTAATCTTTATTATGTAATATTCTCACCAACACTTACGCTTGTATATCCACTTTCCAAATGGCGCCTCGCTGATGCAAGCAGTGATAGTTAAAAAAGGTAAACAAACACCGTAATCTTTATTATGTAATATTCTCGTAATGGTGTCTCGCCGTTGATGGAACATACTTTACCGGGTACTTTGGTCTTCTGTTGGCCATGACCTATCGCGGGGCGGCCTATCCATGAGAGATATGATTTTGACACTGATTTTGAGGGTCAAGTTTGGTGGTCGGCTTATCCATGGGGTCGGCTTATAGACGGTCATATACGGTAGTCAACTGTGTGCTGTTATGGTGGAAACAGACATGTAAACAAATTTCAAAGGCCTAGACCTTGATTCCTTCGCTAAATGCAGTAGTGCTAGTCATTTTTATATAGCTTGAGAACAAGTATTTGTCAAATTCAGTCTTCATGAAATGCTGATGAAGCTCAATATCTGATACTACTGATTTCCTGAATATTTATGGTTTGGGCAAGGAGAATTTGGTGCAGATTTTTGGCTTTGCTGTAATTAGGATGGATATGCAGATACTCTATAAAGCGACCCAATGAATAACATCAATACCCCCATTAATTTATGCTAATTTTTATACCCTATCTATAAAGTGACCCAAAACACATGACATTATAATTGCATGCACAACCCCTTCCTTCGCAGTGTTTTGTTTATATCATGCCTGGTGGCATAGAACTGCAGTGCATGGAAACATTTTATATTTTGACAATGTGCGACACCATATTGGTGACATTAAACATTCATCACTATGCATTCGTCCAAATGACCAATACAGGGAAAAAAGTCTTCTTATTTAATTGCATCCCTACTAGAAACAATGGTGGTGATAAAACATGGTTTTACTTTTCTTACTTTGTAAGCTCTGAAAATAGTAAGGGAAGGCAGTGTAACATTAAGGGTATCTTTGGTTTTCTCGCCATTTCTTTTGTATCTAAGAGTTTGCCTCTGCCTCTGAAAACAAGGGATCATTTAGATTCACATACAGGCCACAGGAAAACATAGCTCCTTTGAAAAGGGTCATGTTCACAAAATATTCATTGTTGTCAAATTTCATACTCAAAATTCATTTTAATTTCCAAATGACTACTTTTCTTTGCTCAGGTTTACTAGTCATCAAACCCTGACTTCATGCGAGGACCCAAAGGCAAGAAGGGTAAAGAAAGTTGTTGAGGACTCTGATAGTGATGAGGAATGGATACCAGCATCACAGAGGAAAAGTAGCCGAAGTGGGTAGACCAGTTTTGAGAAAAGAAATGTCATGGTTCGAAATGGATATTTGTATGCTACTTTGAGACTAGTGAAATATAGAAGGAAATGATTCATTACTAGTGATATATTTCAAAGTACCTAATGGCTTAATGCTTAGAGTCCCCTTTGAAATTCTCTGAAAGTGTCATGGAGTTAAAAAGAAACTCACAAGTAAGATGGTAATTGAGGGATGTTATAAAGACAAATAAATTGTTAATGGCAAGTTTAGATTCAACCATGAGGTAGTTGTCATTGTTAGAACTTGTTGATTTGTGTGTATTCAAGAATGATTTGAATAGATACCACTTTCCAGTAAATGTTTGTATTATTAGATGTTTAAATGTACTTTTGACACAGAAATTTTTTCTTTCATATGTAAATGTAAAAAAAGATTTGGATAGCATTAACAGAGGTACAGATAATCTGCGTGCATTCATGCAAATTATGCAAATATTTTTATGTGAAAACTCACCTCCTATTATGTCTGTTATGCATAAGTACGCTCATTTGTATTTTGTAAATACTCTGTAAATTTGATTGTACATGCGTACACAGAAAACTGAAGTCTTAGCTTGCGTACCAGTGGATAGATAAAACAACAGGTATATTGAGAGGTTCTATTTCGGCACATGAACACTCAACTAGCAGTCTTTCATATCGTTTCTCATATTACAGATCAAATGTAAATAAAACACTAACATTTAAACTTGATTATATTTTTACAATTAATGGAAAATGGCAAAATACCCAATTGATTTTGAGTGAGGTGAGAGTACAATTTGTTTGGTTACTCAAAGGAAAATTAGGATACCCAATTGAGATGAAGACAAGCGGGTACATAACTCAATGACCCAAAAAGTTATCTGTAGCTCTGGCATTAAGCAGACTGAGATGTTCTTCACATGATTTATTTATCAAAAGTGGAAGATTAAAATGTCAAAAAAGAAAATAGAACTTGCAAACTTTGTGATCTCAACCAAATAGAAGATGATTATCATTTTCTTTTAATTTGCCCTGCTTATAATTCCCCAAGAAAGTTGTATATTAAGAAATATTATTTTGTCCATCCAAACCATCTCAGCATTGTTAAATAACAAAAAACATACAATACTTCAAAACTTGTCCATGTTTGCTTACTATGTCATGTTGTTTAGAACATAATATACATGTATCTCAGAACACAATGTAACCTACCCTTGATTATTTTCTCTTCTTCATGTGTATTACATGTGCGTGTAAATATTGTTTTGTAAATGTGTTGTACGACAGGCCTGTGGCCTTTCAGCACTGTAAATATAGAGATTGAGGATTTGTGTGTATTCAGATAAAAAATATGATAAGGCAGAAGTTATTTACAATATTTAGGATTAGTTTCTAATGCTGATAGTGGGATATCAATGAGCATTAACAGATTTTGGTATTGAATTGTTTGTAACTCTCATGTCATATTTTCTAGCTGTCCAGCCAGTAGCTACATTCAGGTATCCTGTCAAAGAGGAGCCAAAAAAGAGAAAAGTAAAGCAGGTGAAAAAGACATAAAGTGTCAAGGTAAGTCTGTGCTGTTTCACTCAAACGCCTAATGAAATTAGCTCAGTTCTTTTGAAAAAGGTATTTTGCATTATATCAGTAAAACATGCTTTCATGAAACAAAGCAGGCTTCACTGCAACAAAAGACATGGTATATATAGCTGTCAGAAGAATATGTGTTTCCTTAGTGGAATTATCCATTTGTACTATTTTCGTACATGGAATAATTAACTTGGATTTATTTGGAAAACATTTCTATTAAATATTGATGTTCTTTTTAACTCCCCGCAACTTGTTTTGCGGGGTATTAACCATTCAATACCGCAAGGGCCGCTTAAGTGACCACAACGCTATGAGTCCCCAGACACGGAGGCCGCTTTAAGCTGCCAGGCAGTAGTCACGCCAAAATGAGACATAATTTTCAAGAATGTAATTGAAAACAACGATTCTCGACACATGCTTCGCAGCGGGTCCACAATAACATTGTCAAAGAGCAAAGTAACGATGTTTCGAGGAAATTATTAAATAAATTGAATAAACTAATGAATAAAATCAACAACAGCATTCATAAAAGTTGTCAAACGCACATGTTAAATTACTATTTCCATCTTTTGTGCGATCATGTAATGCAAGTCAAGTCACTGACAAGTGACATCTCGCCTCGACACTCAATCTTCACTGACACGATGTTTAATGCAAAAAATATGCATGAAGCATTTTTTGTCACAGGTCATAACCTAGCACGATACGCCAAATAAGTCCCATAATTTACGTATATGAAGCGATTTCTTGCTTAATATGTTCAGAATAACATTATTTTACCCAAAACTTTCATCTAAATCTAAAAGTTTTCATGGAAAAAATCGCCATAGTTTTTGCTTCTTTTCGTGGCTTATCTGGACATTATAAATGTAAACTTGCATTTTCATTAAAAAATAAATTTATTTAAGTTGTAGTTGTATTATTTGAATTATATTATAAAAATAAACTTCATATTTATCAACAGTGGGATTTAGATCTTTTAAATGGTGTATGCGAGATGTAGTAGTAATAACGTTTTACAAGCATATAATTTCCTTCATAAACATAGAGCTTCCATCTGTGACCTTAGAGTCTCTGGGAACTCAGTGTCATGGCAGTAAATGCCTCTTGTTGACTGGTGTTGAAAGAGTTAAAATGGACTCTGTCCATGCGTGCACATTCGTCTTTTATGGTGCAGAACTTTAAAACCGTTCACTATTTCTTCACCAAACTTGGCTCATAGATAGGTCTGGTAGTGAACTGGTGCCTTTCAGTAGTTTTGATTTCTGAATAACATATTTTTGTGTTTTCATGGCAACAAGTTTGACTTCGAGTTAATTTGGTGGTAGTGCTCACCTCTGGAGCAGAAATTCAAAACCTTTCAATACTCTCCTTCCGCTTTGCTATATACACACCAAAACATTTGACATAATCATAACTAGTAGACATGAAGCATGAAGAGTATTTTGCCATTGCGGGGGTATCGATGACTTTGTTTTCTTGTTGGAACATAATTCATGTAGAACAGATCATCAGTGACATCTTGAGAGCGAAAAAAAAGGACTAGGGTATGGTTGTCAGGGAAACTTGAAACGTGCTTGTTTTACAGCTTACAGTTACACTCTGCCCGCAATTTCTTTCTTTAATATTTAGTATAAACTAATGTTGCAGAGAGCTGTTAAACCAACAGCTACTGAGACTGTCAGCTCCCTACCCCCTTCGACCGAGACCTGACTTGAACTACATGAGGATGGAAGGCCCTGATGATGATCATTTTCTTTGTGAGTTTCATCAGGAGCAGTAATGGTATTCTAGCAATGCATGCAAAGAAATATTTGAAAACTGGGTATTAATACCTTCATTGTAACTGATGTAAGTTAAATATGTGGGGTGTTTTTTACATGACTTAAGTTTCGTAAATAAAATAAAAAACATCAACTTAGAAATCTTGAAAAAGTGTACATTGCATTGAATACATAATTTTCAAAAGTTGAGGACCATAGGATGCGTCCATGTTTATCTATCATTATATCTAATTCTTGCGTATATGGCCAGTGTTTGATTTCATTCTGTGCAGCAGTATGTCCAGTGATAAATTTAGGGAATGTTGAGAGACTTTTAATGTCTTTATTTGAACTTCTTGACTACATGAGTGTCGTATAATGTATTTTCAACTAGTAAACTTTGCCATTAACATTATTAATTACTGAAAACAATGTCAGAGAGAGTAAGACCCAAAAGTATTCGGCATAAAGATTCAGGTTTTGTATGTGTTCATAGTATTTCTGGCTTATGTGAATAATCTGTTTCAGTGAGTCTGCTCAAAATTCCATTCATTAGTGTAGATATTTTGTACCTGGTGAGTTGTTACAGGGCTCAATTTAAAGAAATGAAACCTACTTGCACCCAGTGCAACCTTAGGTAGAAACCTTGTTGCATCAGACAAAAACAGGTTGCACCTGATTCTCAATATAAAATCTTGCATAAAATATTATGCTTGAGTTTTGGTAATGATAGTTTGTGAACATAACAATTTCATGAACAGTAAGTCCTTCAGTCACTGCTCATACAGTCATCAGAGTCACTCTATTTCAAGTTCCTCATTCTGTTTTCCAGCTGAAGTCTATATAATTGACTTTCACCTGGTGCAAGTTTGACCAACTAGGTTGTACTTTGTAATATTGGGTTGCACTAGTGCAAGTAACAAAGCACTAAATCGAGCCCCTGACTGTTATCAATTAGATGTATGCATTGTTTGAGAGGCATTCTAGAAGTTTAGCAATAGGAATGAAAAGCGTTTATGGATGATCAACTTCTTTATTGTACAATTGCGACGCTTCGGTATAAATTCTTGAAAACGGTATAAGCATCTTTAACGTAAAACGTAAATTGTACAATAAAGAAGTTGATCATCCATAAACACTTTGTCATTCCTATAGATATATAAAGGTTGTGATTTCATGCTTAACATCCAAAGATGTCTGCTCATTATCAGCATGATCGGCTGATATAGTCATGTCTTGCCCTTTGTCAAATTTGATTACTTTGGGGACTCAGTCAAATTTCTCCTTTTTAGCTTGTAATGGAGAAAGGACTTATTTCTTTGCGGCATCTTTATATATGCTACAATTGTAAAACTTTGGTCTAATGTCTCAATTTGCCAAATGGATATAACAATCATCACATGAAGGCTTGCAAGTCCTGCAGTCCTTGGATATCAAATTTTGTTCGGCATTGTAATTTTAGCCACCAGCAGAACACAAATTATTTGACTGATTTTCATTTTCTGATACTGTTTAACATATGTGTTGTTCCATTGTTGCTAAACATCAATAGATCATCAGTTATTCAACTATAGAATTGTGTTGCAGACTGTGAAGAATGCAACAAGGAGTATGAAGGAGATTGTCCTGTTCATGGACCACTACTAGTCATCTTTAGACACTCAGGTTTGTACAAACAGTGAAGTGTACTGTGTATAATATTGATACGCCAGATTTTGAAGATCTAAATATTGAAATGGCACGGAGAAAATATTTCCAGTCTGACGGCAGCAGCACAACTAAATATTGTACAATAATTTTCACCATGATTTATTTAAAGGAGCACTGATCCAGAGTGAGTGTGTTTAGTTTTACGCCACACTCAGCAATATTCCAGCTATATGGCGGCGGTCTGTAAATAACATCATCCAGTGATCAACAGCATGAGCATTGATCTGCGCAATTGGGAACTGATGACATGTGTCAACCCAGTCAGCGAAGCCTGACCACCCGATCCCATTAATCGCCTCTTACGATAAGCATGGGTTACTAAAGATCAATATTCTAACCCGGACCTTCACAGGTTCACTGATCCAGAGCAATTTCCGTGGACTGGCTGTTGCTTTTGTTATTGTTTTTCTCCCAAGACTACCCGGATGATATCCCATAATTCTTGACTAGGTAGCGATCTCTGCTGTGCAACCCCGCAAGCGCAATTGGTAGTAATAAAGTTTTGTCTTTGAATTAATTGGAAAATGTCATCTATTGTACGCTTTAATATTTCCTTCTTTGTTTATCTGGCAGTGGTAAAAATGTTGATACAGAAAGAAGTCAATGTACGTTTCGTATTTTGCCTTATTATTTTTTATCATATTGTAATGCACTTTGGAACTTCATAAAAAGTACACAATCTATGTTTTGGTGAATTTATAAGATGACTGTAATATCTATACATTTTATAGATAGATTTCACACACACACCTGCGCCTTAAGTGCGACCTAGTGCATGTTGGCTGTCTCGCATTGAAGAACTTCACGGCTTAAAAAAAAAAAATTGAATAAAACAAAATGCAACTATCAATATTAAAAGGGTTAATCCTTTGATCGATGTTTATCATTTTATCTCGTATGGATAGTTCTGTTTGCTTCACTTGCATGCATATATTACATAACATGAAATACTGTTTGAAACATCACACCTTAATTCATAATGCTTAGTATTTACTCCAGACGAAATGCTAAATGGGAAACGCCGGTTAATCTGAGTGGTGTTACCATTAATTATACCAGTTATAAATTCATTAACTGACCATCAATTGAACAGGTGTACCGTATATGACCGTCTATAAGCCGAATTTTGAGGACCAAAAAAGCAGTCTGTAGAAAGGTCGTCTTATCCATGGGTTACGCTTTCGTCAAACTTTTTCCAGGGGTAAGAAAACAACATATCACTAGCGTGAACAAACAACAGAAGACGACTTTGTCAGTAGAGACGTCAAATTTGCAATTAAACATCACTAGACAAGATTATTTACCTTTTAAGTTATAAGTTGTTTTGGCTGGGCATTGTATTATTTGCAGGATTAAGATTACCGTGCGTATTTGTCTCTCATTACACAAAACCGAAATAGCAATCAGCTGTGCACACATTTCCGCTAACAAGTTCAAATAAGCACAATAATATAGCGGGATGAATTCTGACGCAGATCGTCAGTAAAATATAATACAGAATACTATTATTTAACCCAAAGAAGTATATATTAGCATTGTGTAATTTTATTTACAGTTTTATGTAAAATATATATAATCAACACTAAGGTTATATGGACCCTCATGAGCGTGGTAAAGCATGGAATGGGGTAAAAAATCACGGAAGCCATTTAAATTCACACATTTTACCGATGTTACTGTAAACTAGCAGTCAATGGAAAACGAGGCGTAATCAGTTAAGTGATTTTTCAATGGGGTAAAATAAGCAAAGCCAGTTTGTTGCTACAATAAATATGATATTTAGAGAAGCAACATATATTATGCATTTCCTGTCAACTACACTTCGTTTCAATCCGTGAGTAGACACAATATATATGACAGTGAATTCTTTGAATAATGTGGACCAAAGTTATAATTATTGGTAACTGCCAGTTGTCTGTGGCCTGTGTTTGCCGCGATTAGGGACCCCATTGCGGAGGATCGACTTATGCACCGAAACATACCATTTTGACACTGATTTTAAGGGTCAAGTTTGGGGGTCGTCTTATCCATGGGGTTGTCTTATAGACGGTCATATACGGTAGGTTTATACTACCAAACATGGGTTACAGCAAGGGATTAGTATCACTGTATCACATGCAATTTTTATTCCCTAAAAACTGGGAGGTGGGGGTCAACGCTGTTTCAAGGATATGAACTTGTTGTTACATGAAAAATACATATAAGAATTTGCTGTGTACAGTATATAACTGTGTTTACCTAAGTGTTCACCATCAAGCATATACTGCTTGACTGGGCGTGGACTTTTCGACTGCAAGGGATTAAGCGTTATGAAGTGATAAATCTGAAAGACATGTTTTCTCCAGGTGGGGGCATCTCATTGTTAGCTACCTAAGGGCAGTTGACCTGTACCATAAATTGTAGCTCTGTAATGTGAATAACAATTGCCTGCTTTTTGAATTTGGTGCTAAGACATTTATGCCTGGGGGCATATAGGTAACCACCCTGTCCGTCTGTCCGTAAGAAACAGGGACTATACTTTTCAACAAAAGACGCTCTGTTGAATTCAATGAACTTGTACATGGGCTTTCTTGGGACTCTAATGGTGTGCATCTCATATTTTGTTTTTCATTTTATTGTTCAACTCAATTCAAGTAAAATTTTAGATTTTTCCAGCAATGTCAATGTGATGTACAGATTAAAAGAATCAGATATGTTTAAGTATCCTAGGTAAGGACATGACGACGTTACATGATTACATATTGAGGTAAATGCCACAGAAATTTGATAAATTGGATTAGTCATCACACCATCTGCAATCTGAAATTCTGCCAAGGTGGACAGTTGCCCAATCCTTGTCAATGTCCATCACGGTCAAGGGACCACATGGCAGCTAGACATCGTGATTAAGATTCTAGGTGCTAAACAGGATTCGCTCTGGATCAGTGCCCCTTTAAGGGAAAATGCTATTAATTTGACGAACTTATGTGATTCAAAATATATTTTGCTCCCCACCAAACCGTTTGTCGGGGTATCATCAATTTCATAGCTTAACGTGGGTGTTGTCATTTTTGAATGTTAGTATACAATGCAGGAAATCCCATTTTGATGATAACATAGTTTATAGGTCCAGGACAAAATGAATCTGAACTGTTCTTGCAGTCATGATAGTGTTCAGGAAATCCTGCTCTCAAGTTTACAGCAGGTTTACATGTTTACTGATTTCTTAAACATTAAGTTGAAAATGACATGATTGTTGTGATGTTTTAAGTTTAATAGGATCATTGAAAGGTATGGGCACACTTATTTTCTCAATGCTACACCTAAATTATCTGGATGGTGCCCTTTAAAAACATTGCCCTGTATTGTTTCAGGTGAACAAGCAATCGATACCAAAACTTTGTCAGGGAAATTTGAAAGCAACTTATTAAACAATATTAGACACAATGATATATACATTTCCAGTCAGGAAATTTGAAAGCAACTTTATTAAACAATATTAGACACAATGATATGTACATTTGACACACACTGAACTAGAAGGTTAATTAGAGTAACATCTACGGGTATAATGGAACAGTCCACTGTCTAGTGAGTGGAGCAGGGTGAGCCTGAAACAGGTTCTGTCACTGAGAAGTTTGATTGTGGGTAAATAGAACTTTGTTGTGATTAAATGATAACTGATTTCTCTTTCTCAAAATTGATTTTAGTATCAATTACTATCGAATATAAAAACAGGTTTGTCACTAAGAGGTTTGATTGTGTTTATTGATAGAAAAGACCCTCCCATTAATAGAATATCTACAACAGAAGTTAACTGAGAAAACGTTTTGTTGGAGAGATTTAGATATGTACATATTTGAAAACATTCTGATTTGCAGTAAATGATACACCTGCATTGCAATGTAAGATGCGATTAATACAAATCAGTCTTCTAATTTTAACAATACTTTCTAAAGATTGTAACAGTTTGTGTCTTTGAGTAGTATACAATGGACATAATAATACTGATTGGCTCGAAGAGCACCTTGTTTCCATCACAGATGCTCAACGGCGCTGCATACATCGTTAAAAACACAGTAAGTGTGAAAAGAGTTCCTTCAAGGAAGTAATGAAAACATTCTGACATCCATGGCCACGTGGCATTGACATGATGCGTCATATTTTAAATATTTATTTTAATACATCGCTATTAAGTGCACTCGTCATATATCATATTTGATTTATATGATACAACAGTGTTGCAAAATTCTAATAGCTAAGCTAATGTTTTCAATATGATGATGCCGACTCCGTTAGACTAGAAGGTGAAATCAAAATGTTTATGAAAATAAACTGTTTTCATATTGCAGCAATAAAATTTCAAATTGCTGTCTTTGTCCATCTTTCAAAATAAATAATATAGCTTCAGTTTGTTCCTGAGTTTTTATTTGGACTATTCCATTATAATGTGCAGGTAATCAATAGTAGATAATCTGTGCACTGAACCGTAAATGTTGTTTTAAAGTGTCTACGAACTGGCTGTCTGCATAATGGGAGGACACCCATTTTCTGGTAAAATAACAGTCAGGTTTTCTCCTAGCCAGTCTCATTACAACCATAAGCAGGATTAGGGGGTAGCTATTTGGTATATTGTTATGTTAGTTACATATTACATATGGAAACAAATGGCGAGTAACCATTGAGGCTTTGCAGTTTTTCATCCCAGAAATATTATTTTGACATATTGAGGTTATAAATGCTAAACATTTTACTTCAAACGAGTCAAAGAATTGAGGAGTTGAGACTTTTGGGAAACAAATATTTTCACCTGAATTCCTCTGAATATATCCAAGCCAGACATAATCATATTCAATGCTCTTATATATTTAATTTTAGAGAAACACATCACTGATAAATTATGACTGTCCCGCATAGTCAAAACATGATTTTGTTGTTTTCCTGAACATGATGAATATAATTGATAGTAAAGCAACAACTAAATTGTTATTGTCTTTGATGAAGAATAGTTTTATTCATTTAGAATATTGCCCTTCAGTAACCCATGCTTGTCGTAAGAGGCAACTTAAGAGTTTGAGAGTTTTAAGCATTATTTTTCTGTCTGATTTCTGTGATATTGTAGGAAAATAGTTTTTCTTAGAAATGTTATTTTCATATTATCGGGTGTCAGGTTCATAATGTAAACTTAGTTGGAAGTTTGAAATGTCAATCACCGGAATTCTGAAAGAGGTTGCTTGTAATTTATAAAAATTCCCCTTGTTTCTTTCGTTTTGGCAGTAAAATTCTGTTGGAATTATCCTTTCCTGGTTGGTTTATAGTCTCGTGATGTGCTGCCATGCTGTGCTCAGTTTGCCCTAGCCTGGTGTGTTTTCTGTTGCGCATTCCGAAGTGTGTTGTGGTAGAGCTGCCGTGATTGGTTGGCTGACTACCTTATGGGCCAATGGGTGATAAGGTTACTACTTGACTATGGTTAAAGGTTAGCCGACGGGTATATAAGGGCCTGTAACACTCTCAGAAGTTGCTTGCTTCAGGATACCCTGACCGTTAAGTAAGTTGGGAGGTCTTCCTCCTTACCTTGGTTATTTAGTATAAATTTTAGAATGTAGAATAGGAAAATGATTATGGGGTTGGGGAAATGATAGGTTTAGAGTAGGCTTTATTTTGTAGGAATTTATTAGTTAGGACTTTCTTTTAGGTTAAACAGATTACCTTGCGTGAGTGTGTGTGAGAAAGGCTTGTGTTTGTTCTGTTAAGTTTGGATCAGTTTAGTTTAGTTAATTAATAAATTGTATTTATTTGGTAAATTTGAATTGTGTTATTGTTCGGGAGAGTTGTTAGCAATGACATGAACCACCATAGGACCTGAAATAAGGTTTATAAAATGTTCCAGTCTCTAGTTAAGATCAATTAAAAATACACAACGCAGAGTCTTCTACTGAGACCGTTTAACAACACTGAACCTTGACACTTTACATGACCTTACTGTCACTGGGCGACCTATGTCAGCGGTAAAGCCTATTACAATATATTATTCTGGGGTGATATATGCATAATATCTTGTGTTCTTGCTTCTGTATGCAGGTGTTATCTCCAAGTAAGAAGGGTGAACGAGCTGAAAAAGACACTTCCACCAGGTCTAGAGATTAAAAATCCTCAATCCCAGATGCTGGCCTCGAGGAGTGTTTGCCACCACTGACTTCCCAGCACGCACAAGGTTTAGTCCGTATGAGGGAGACATAATTAAAGATGCTGATGTGGCACACAACTCTGGATACTGCTGGCAGGTACTGAACCAGAGACAAATTGTGCAACAGGGCCTGTGGTGCCAGTCTTTACTTTAGGTACTAAGCTGGTTCCTGGCTCCCTTTGTGCGCATCTCAACTTGTGATATGCAAGACAGGGCCCAGCTTACTTCTGGTTCCAGATTTCGGGTGACAGGGGTATATTCGAGAACCAGTTTTGGTTTAAACTTGCTCGATTTAATAAGATAAGATGATTTCTTTATTATCCCAAGGGAAATTTGTTTTGCGTCATACGCAGTTCTCCAGTTTTTCATTCAAAAAGCAGCTGTATATAACATTGCAAATGATAATCATAAATATGACTATATTTAGACCAAGTGAACAACCATGTTTGGCTGTCACAGCTGTTGAAAGTCATAATAGTTGGCTAATTTGGGGTTGGTTTGATGGGAACTTTGCAATTCCTGCAAGGATTATCGGTTATTTACTGTCAACTGACAACCATAAGACCATTCAATATGGTATGAAATGTTTGTCACTGGAAGTACTCAGGTCTCACAAAGTGCGTGATCTACTTATTGGCCAGAGTAGCTAGTTAATTAAGGAGGGGACTAAATTGGGAAAGTTTCAGCCATATTTCGAACATTTCCTATCTGATGTGAATTACTATCAAAAGAGGAAGGGATGGTGGGTACACGAAGCTATAGTATATTGATGATTCAGTTGTTAATGTCCCAAAGAGGAAAAACATCGGTATATTCTGAACTGTATTCCCTCGTAAATGATGTAAGTTGTGCCCCTGACAAGGAAATGCTGTGTAAGTAACACCATGAGGCGATGCTGATTTGTAAATGGAAACTATTTGCAAACAATAGACATCTTCACATTTGCTCACACCATAGGTTATGGATTGATTGATTTTGTAACTAGTTTCAAAATTTGGAGACTGGTATCTGTTACCCAAGTGCATAACTATGAATGATAATTTGCAGTTGTGCTTTTTGAAATTTCTTGTAAATAATAAACTCACTATTATATATTGAAAAGAACTTTTACAATCGTGACTATATCTGCTATCTCACAATAATATCATTGCAGTCAAATGTAACAGAACATGATTAATTATTGCTCTGTAGATGTTATGAATGTTTCTTATTTGAAAAGGTTTAATCTTATTCAAAAGAGATGGACAAATTATTTTATTACTGCCAGGGCCTTGGCAGTGAAAATCAACAACTGCTCAGGAAAACGTTTTAGTTGAATTAATCATGTGAGCAGGTTTTACTTTTCAAACCCAGTATAGTCGTGTTGAAAATCTCCATAACAGGAATTATGAAAATATTATACAACTGTTCTCCCTATGATTTCATTCAAAGTTAAGTGAGGCAATACTTGTTTAGTTGCAGGTCTGTGTGTTGTATGTTGTAAGACTTGTATGATTTTGATGACTACTGTGTTTCAGGTCTGTGTAGATGGTCGTGGTTCTCACTTTGTGGATGCTGCCAATATGGAGACTGCCAACTGGATGAGGTTCGTGAACTGTGCTCGGACAGAGGATGAACAGAATGTTACAGCATATCAGTTCGAGGGAAACATATATTACCGATCATACAAGCCAATCTTACCAGGTGAACTGATCCGTGAAGATTCGGGTTAGAATTGATGTTCAGTAGCTCATGCTGTGTATTGGACAAAGCATTGTATTGTTATACAGGTATCTGCACTGTGAATCATTAGGAATTTAAGTGTTTTAAGGATACAGATTGTACATATAGGTCCTATTTCCTGCATTATGACTGGTGAATATTACCATGTCGAAGTCAGTGGAGAAAGAAATCACTGTTACTTTTTTGGTCAATTTGAATGGTGACCATTTGTAAATGAACTTCTTTGTTGATTTCAAGTTAAACATATAAATAACAACAACAACAAAAATCTATTTTTTTCCAGCACAGAAAAATATATTGCAATCTGTATTGTTTGGAAAGTATATTTCATTATAATTATATGTTGGTAATGCCATTTTGACCTATCTGTATATTGACTAACTTGATACTGTCCTAAGCTTTATATGTAATGCGCCATTACAATACTGACATGGATGTGAAACCATAATTCACTAACCCTCTAACTCCTGTTGTGATTTGTTTACATCAGGTCATGAGCTGTTGGTTTGGTATGGACACAATTATGCACAAGACCTGGGGATAAGAAGAGAAGTGAAAGTGCATCATTCAGCAATTCCAGGTAGAAGTATTCTGTGTGATAGGTTTTGCCAAGAAACCTATCATTAAAATGGTTCCTGATAAGGAATTGTTTTATAGGAATTTAGAGAAAAAATATGAGCAAGTTAGGTGTTACACCGCACTCAGCAATATTCCAGCTATATGGCAGCTGTCTGTAAACAATGGAGTCGGGACCAGACAATCCAGTGATCAACATCATGAGCATCGATCTGCGTAATTGGGAACCGATGACATGTGTCAACCAAGTCAGCGAGCCTGACCACCCAAACCCGTTAGTTGCATCTAATAACAAGCATGGGTTACTGAAGATCAATTCTAACCTGGAACTTCATGGGTAAAAAATATGATGGAAGTTCTGAACTATTTTTGGTATCTTGGTTCAGCACTACTACAATGTTTAGTTGTAAATGAGTATCGGCATGAGGTCCTGTGTCCTGTACTAAATTATCACCATTATCTATAAAATTTATCAATTTTTAATGTGTCAATTAAGTTATGTTTTATAATGTTCATGTTTTTAACGTTACAGATATCTATCCATGTGATAGCTGTTACCTGAGTTTCAACTCCATTGGCTACCTGTGGAAACACATGAAGAACAAACATGAGGGCCGAGTCACTGATCAGATCCGTTCCATGGCCAAGTTATAATGGATACAGTGTCAGAGATTTCACTTTCAAGTTGGGCTCTGGATTCATCTTTGTGCCACTCTCTACCGCAGAAGGAGAAGTCAGAAAAGCTGCATGGAAATGTGTAAAACGGAACCATCAATTGATTTAAAGATCCCACAAAATACTTATAGAAACATAGAAGCTAGTAGAAATCATGTTAAATCAGTGAAAGTGGTATGTCTCAAATGTGGAAGAACATTTAAACATTCAGAGTCTTTAGTGAGACACAAATGTGTGATACGAGAGAGACCTTACAAGTGTAGTGAGTGTGGGAAGGGGTTTACAGTAGCAGGTAACCTGCAGACACACATGAGATGTCACACTGGAGAGAGACCTTACAAGTGTAGTGAGTGTGGGAAGGGGTTTACAGTAGCATGTAGCCTGCAGAAACACATGAGATGTCACACTGGAGAGAGACCTTACAAGTGTAGTGAGTGTGGGAAGGGGTTTACAGTAGCAGGTCACCTTCAGAGACACATAAGATGTCACACTGAGAGAGACCTTACAAGTGCAGTGAGTGTGGGAAGGGGTTTACACAAGCAGGTAACCTGCAGAAACACATGAGATGTCACACTGGAGAGAGACCTTACAAGTGTAGTGAGTGTGGGAAGGGGTTTACAGTAGCAGGTAACCTGCAGAGACACATGAGATGTCACACTGGAGAGAGACCTTACAAGTGTAGTGAGTGTGGGAAGGGGTTTACATATAGGCATTCCCTAAAGAGTCACATACAATGTCACAATTGACGAACATTATTTAATTGGGGTCGTGCAATATATGAATTAGTGTATGGAATTTTTAGTTTACTAATGCTACTTGAATGTGTTTAAATCTATATTTACACTGCATGAAATATATATACTCAATTCATTGCAAGAATTATTATTTTGTACAGTCTTTTAAAATATGCCATTTTAATTGTGACTAAAATTTTCAAGCATTTATAATATAATGCTCTTATGAAATATTGTTAATATTGTAAATATATGTCAAGTTAGAGAAATAAATACTATATACATGCAATCGTATTCTGTCTTCGGGAATAATGTACAACATGAATACACTGTTCACTATTCATTGTTATATATTTTTTAAAACGGTAAGACATTTGGATGTTTTGTACTTCCTAAGGTCTGTATATTTACTTCTTGTTAGTCTGTGCCAGTAGATTTATGGTGGGTAAAATGAGTGAGAAAGGTGCAGCTTCATGAGCCCCAGACACGAGACCTCCAGCACGAGCTCATCGGTTTCCACGTGCAGGGCGTGCTGGTGTGCACTGGGATATGACAGCCGTCTGTTCCCTCACAATAACCATGTGCATTTGGGTTATAAAAAAAGTGTTGCGATCGGTTCCAGAGCAGGAAGTTTATTTTTTATCCTTTTGGTATGCACCGCAGGCATTTAATGGGTCTTTCTTGGCCTTTGACTAGATAAGCCAACAAGTTGAGTGAGTGAGTTTTACCCCGCTTTTAGCAATATTCCAGCAGTGTCACGGCTGGGGACACAGGAATGGGCTTCACAATCGAACTCCTTTGGGTGACGAGCTAATGCTTTTAAACACTGGGCTACCTCCGCGTGGTTTAAATGGAAGAATAGTTCGTATCAGGTGTGTAATGTTCTTTGTTTGGGTTTGTTTATTCTATAGTCACCTTAACCTTTTAGTAACCTTTTTAGGGTTTATATTTGGACTAGGATAATTATATTACCTAGAATTTGTTGTCGGGGAATTAGCTTGGGACTGCAACACCTTCAAATAGCCAAGAGAAGCATCGATTTGTGGCCAGTCTTGAGTGCATTTCAAATTATATAATAATTAGCAATATAATAACATTAGCAATATTTCAAACTTGGACAATTAATACATATGAAAATCATGTGAATTAATAATTACATGACACTATACCTTACAACAGGGAGACTATATAACGTTCTAGAGTATCCCTGCTTACAATAAACAATTGCCAAGATTACACGGAAGTGAGGACACTTCATATTATATTGGAAAACAATACTGGTGATGTAGGGCAGCTGAGAAATATGCGTAGAGAATGATGAGGTAAGACACATAGTACTAAATAATTGCTAAAATAATCTATGTTTATGGAGGTCGTAAATGATGGGCGATACTTTGCTACATCCCAAGAATACAACTTGAGCAGAATATTAAGAATACACAAATAATAAACTTTCAGTCGGCTTGTTGAATATTATTACCACTTTTATATCTAAACTACCGTGAATTACTAAAGAATATATGTCAACGGCCTGTTTTGTAAGTTCAACTTCTACATAATAAGAGCTTAACGATACTGCGAGCGTAGCAATATCTGAGCAACAGAATGAAAAACGAGCATAGGCGGCTCCAGAGGGGAGTGCGCACCCCGCTTTTGTGATGAAAGTTTGTTAAATGACCATTGAAACTCGGGTGAAATTGAAGTGTGCACCCCTCCTTTTCTCCATAGTGTGCATCCCCCCTTTCTCAAAAAGCTGTATCCGCCCCAGACAAGGTTTATGAGTTTTGCATGTACAGTATAGTTACCTCACATAATATGTCCAATGTTAAAACATTGATCAAAGGATTGATTGCATAACACGCAATAAAATATACAACACGTGCACAAGAATTACGTTGCTTCCACGAGAACGGTTATACGTAATTTAATATACTTACATAATGTCTAAACGTTACTATATTATGCTGTAAACTGTTTTGATGTACACTAAGTTGCTAGATTAGTGCTAAATGGTCTGACACAACTATGATTAAAATACTCCCTGTTGTACTTAATAAATACTGCATAACTTAAATGATAATATTGGTATAAACTTAACAGTATGGAACGCAATAGAAAACAATGGAAATAAGAACATAATTTAAGAACATACAATGAATTAAATGCATATGGCTTTCCTTCAAATAACCAAGAGAAGCATCGATCAGTGGCCAGTCTTTATTCGGTGCATTTCATGAGTGAAATACCCCGAATAAAGGCCTTTATATATACCACCGATGCTCTCAGAGTTCGTGATATGGTGGCACGTTCAACGGTCACTTTAAACAATACTTACAAATGCTGCTAATCTACACTGATGTCCGGGGTAGAATAGCCCTTCAGCAACCCATGCTTGCTATAAAAGGCGACTATGCTTGTCGTAAAAGGCGACTAACGGGATCGGGTGGTCAGGCTCGCTGACTTGGTTGACACATGTCATCGGTTCCCAATTGCGCAGATCGATGCTCATGCTGTTGATCACTGGATTGTCTGGTCCAGACTCGATTATTTACAGACCGCCACCATATAGGTGGAATATTGCTGAGTGCGGCGTAAAACTCGACTCACTCACTCACTCAATCACTCACTCACTCACTCACTCACTACACTGATGTCTATCTGAATTTTGAGATTACCTCGTAGGTTTGAAAGACTTGAGAATGCAGAAATGACTAAACTTATCTAACAGTTATCTCGGAGAGCGTGTTATCATAGAGTAATGTTTACTTCTCTCTCTGGGTGCAGTTCCACTAACCGATCTTAGCCCTACGCCAATCGTAAACCCCTAAAATCCCAATCTTAGCGTGACGTTACGATCGGCATACCGTTCCACTAACCAACAATTAGTACCTAAAGCTTATCAAGAAAACTCGGCATTCAAGACGAGCGTATATCGACACTGACGGATTTTAGACTTTGGACGGACCAGGCATGTGGTCTTAAAGCTTAACACATAATGCTAAATATCTTTCAACTTGGAAAATGAAGATCAACACTAACTGAGACAGCGTTTAGTATTCTCGTTATTGAGTAAAATATAAAAAAATGTGCCGTTTAGTCTTATTTTATGAAGTCACAATTATTTATATAAGAGGAAAATATGAGATATTTTAGAACTATGATAGTTCTTAAAAGCCACGCTCGGCAATCTTTCAGCTATATGCGGCGGTCTGTAAATATTCGAGTGTGCGCACCACAACCGATCAGTCGCCTTTTATATGCAGGGGTTGCTGAAGACGGGTTCTAACCCCGGATCTTTACATGTCTACCCGTGAAGATCCCGGTTAGAACTGATCTTCAGTAACCATTGATTGTCGTAAGGGGCGACTAACGGGATCGGGTGGTCAGGCTCGCTGACTTGGTTGACACAAGTTATCGATGCTCATGCTGTTGACCACTGGATTGTCTGGTCCAGACTCCATTATTTACAGACCGCCGCATATTAGCTGGAATATTGCTGAGTGCGGCGTAAAACTAAACTCACTCACTGTTTGCATGTCAATATTTTTACCTATATCTTGTGTGAAACTGTATGCTGGCCAGGTATGTGTATTTGTCTCATCGGCATCTTTATTGTTAATTGTTATAGTTGCTTTTATAAGGCACCAACAGCATTGACTTAGCTGGGTCCGACCACGACCATATTTTGCAGAACTTGATTTAGGCAAAGGCATCGTACATCAAATCAGGAATTATTTATGTATTTTTATATTTTTGTACGTGAATGTAATTTAAGTTTTCAAAGTATGCACAACCTTGCAATTGAATGAAAATATCGGTCTTTCGAAAAATGCAACCACTAATGGTGTTAGTCATTAATCAAGTTATCAAATATTCAGAGCACGGATTATTTTCCCCGGCATCTCCACCATAATAACCCGTGAAGATAACCCGGGTTAGAATAAACCTTCAGTAACCCATGCTTGTTGTAAGAGGCGACTGACGGGATCGGATGGTTAGGCTCGCTGACTTGGTGGACACATGTCATCGGTTCTCAATTGCGCAGATCGATGCTCATGCTGTTGATCACTGGATTGTCTGGTCCAGCCTCGATTATTTACAGACAGCCGCCATATAGCTTGAATATTGCTGAGTGCGGCGTAAACCTAAACTCACTCACTCAGAGCTCATCATGTTACTGTAAACAACATAGTATTTGTGTTTTATGCACATTCAAACACATGTTTGATTTTAGTCAGTCTTCGGTCATCAGTGTTGGTTGACTGACTAAAACAAAGCCTCTGACACACGCCTGTCAAATCAAGACATCCGCGCAATTAAGATTGATAAGGGCCGCTCATAATTTATGGATGATCATTACAAGGGGGTGTCATCAGTCTTGTACACATGTATACTAAGGGGTCCACAATGATTTTGTAGATGATATGGCGGGGGTGGGGTAGGGGTGTCATTCACATTGTACATGATTAACCGTAATAACATCACGGTCTTTTATTAAGGATTCCGGTATATAGATTGGTTTTTTCCTAAAATATGTGCATTTTAGAATATAATCGAACTCATCGCCCACATCATTCATACAAAATAATTTAATAACTTTGTTAAAGGGTAGGGACGTTAAATAATTTTCAAAATTTAAATTTATATTTCAAAAGAGCATATGTTTGACTTTTTAAAATTTTCCACCACTAAGCTCCAGGTTTGAATAGCACTGGCATTTAAAATTGAGTGAGCTGTAATTTTCATCCAGGAAGATGAAAAAGAGACTGAAAGCCATACATAACTTAAACCAATGCTATTAAACATATTCTCTATACAGGAAATCTAGCTTCAGTTGTGAATACCTTCATTATGTAGATTTTATACAATAGAAAAAAGATTGAAGAAAACTTAGATGAGTTGTTTGTAAATAATTTAGATAAAAAAAAGTTAACATACGAGTTTAATCTTAAACAGAAACTGGGACTCTACCTAATTCAACATAAAGCATATACAATAGTGTACCTTTCTGTACATGTAATACTTTTCTCATAAAACAGATATGTACATTTTCTGTTTGTTTTAAATTAACATATCCCCAAATTTCACAACCGTACAACAAAATGGTTTCACCATTGAATCAAAGCGATATAGTTGACATTGTATTGATAAATTTAACATTCGACTTTGCGTTAAACAAAATACATGGCCTTAGTAGCTTCTTGTATGGGGTTTGATATTGATAATTTGAAAGAACATTTTCATCAAAAATGACTCCAAGATATCTATACACAATAACAGTTTTCCTTA